CTAGTTGGAGGAAGAGATATTGAACAAATATGCTGAAATAACATGACAGTTTAGACTCCTGGGGGACTTAGACCAAGGGGATGGCAATGAAGTGGGAGGATGTGGGGTTAGGGAGATTCTTGGTGACGAAGAGGCTTTATGCCTAAAACCTGAGGAGGGAGCAGCCTGGGAGAGGCCCAGGAGCTGGGCAAGAGTGCTAGGCAGAGGAAAGGGCTCAGCAGATGGTCCTCAGAACTGACGGGAAGCTGGTGTGGCTGACTTATTCTGGGCTTGGAGGGAAAGGAGAGAGTGGTATAGAACAGTAATACATCTTAAAAGAAAAGTATAGGAAATACATTTTTCCTGTGGGATTTTTTCCCCACTATGTCAGTCTTACAAGACCAGTGCTTTAACCTCTGAGCTATGGAGCCCTCACCTCAAACTATGTCATTTTTATATTGAAGTCAAAAATTGGCAAACACGGAACCCCGTGTGTAGTTCTAGAAGCAGATGCAGCATTCACCTGAGCTCCAGAGCCCTTGAGCTTGAGGCCCTCCACCATCTATCTGGCTGCTTCCGTAACCCTGTGACAAGCCCAGCAGATCAGGAGACAGCACCAGGCTCCCTTCTATTATTACTTGCCTGGATGGGGCTGTTACCACCTGCTGGGGCACTGAGGGGTCCTCATTCAAACTAATGGGAGGAGGGCCACCCCACTGTATGGGCTGGTCTGTCCCATCCCTGACACTTCACTGTAGTTCTGGGGGCTCCCAGCCACATACCCCACTAGCTCCCGTGAGGCCGGCCACTCCTTTCTCCCACTTTCTCTTCCTCGTAACCTGATAAATGAAGGTGGTACAAGCAAAGGTCTATGGTTGTCACTGCTTTAGAGTGGCTTTCTCCTGTCCCGTCACCATCCCACTTCTGTATTCTAGCACAATAATTACAATATTTCCTCTGAGGCTCAGATCCTACAGTGCTCTTCCTTTGTCTGTAGCTCTTTCTGAATTATCTATTCATTTCCATGGAAGGGCGTTTCCCTAGGGGACACTTATTTGCTATTTCAACCAAGTGAATTAAATTCTTAAAATTCTTCTTTCAAGTATTTTTCTCAAGGAACAGTGATCTGAACGTCTCTTTTAGGTAATGACTGGTGATGAGAGAATGAGAAATGTAACTGAAACCACAAGGATGGTGGGGTGGGCCTGGGGAGGGCTTGGCGTGTCTGACCGGCTGTGCTCCCTCTTGAACATTTCTTCAAAAACAAGACTGAGAATCTTTCTCAATTCCAGGTGATATTTTCTATCCTTGGGACCAAGACAACAGGGGAATAAAACATTTTGTTAATTCTTATCAACATAGTACTTCTGGGAACGGACCAGAAACTAAGGAAAAGTTAGACAGGAGGTCAGCAAATCATAAGCATCCCTTATAGTTCTAACTCTCTAAGTGCTAACCTGCTGGTGCCTACAGGGGTCTACTAATTCTGTAGCTGCTGTGTTATTCCTAGTCCCTGCTGATTTATGTCATCTCACATTCCCTGATCTGTAACAGTTACACAGGGGCCATACGAAGCCTTCAGAAATAAGCCTCTTGTGTGTTTACTGGGGAGACACATCATGTCCTTTTCAAAGAAGCAAAGGGAAAGTCCACAGACTTGTTTTCCTAAATATTTGGGTCTAGGATGGTGCTTGTGTGCCTCCTAATTTCCCTGGGGAGGTGTTACTGGAGGAAACATTATTGGTGCCAACCTGAGGTTTTGCTTCCAGATGAAATGAGGTGATGGTACGAAAGTCATTTGTTTCCCTGAGGCTTCAGAAACAAGCTATGTCTATAGCATAAGAAATGACAACAATAGAAAAATGACTGGCACTATCTGGGTGGCAAACTGAAATGGTCAATAACTAATAATTGGTCATCTTCTTTTGTTGCCCAAAGCGAACTATTCATTTCAACTGTGGCCGCTGCAGAGTGGCACTTTCTAGTTCTTACTCTGCCATCATCAGGGCGGTGGCAGAGGGGAGCAGAGGAGTGTGTCTATGTTCTTAAACTTTTGATAGTTTTAAAAACAAAAACCTCAATAACAACAACTACGAGAGGGGCCAGAAGGACTGAGAGGACACTCAGGCACTAGAAAGAGCCAGGGATATGGGAGTAGGGCAGCTGGAAGTCCTTTCCAGGCAGCGAGCTCCAAAAACTTAACAAAACCCCTTTTTTCCCTTTAAAACATTTTTTAAAAAAAAGAACGTAGAACTCTAAACTCAGAACAAGTACAGAGAGAATGCCAGTCCTTTTGCAACTTCCCACAAAAAACAAGTTGCAAAGCTCTATATCTGAAGTAGCCATTAAAGCAAGAAACGGGGACAAAAAGGGTGAAAGTAAGTAAAATAGAAAGGGTCAATTGAGTGGGTTTTTTCTGGTCTATTGTGGAAATGCATCCAGAGAGTATTTTTATTATCGTGGTAAGAATACTTAACACGAGATCTACCCTATTAACACAATTTCAAGTGCATCATAGCAGGTGTACAACAGACACAATGTTGTACACCGCACTCTAGAACTTCTTCATTTTGCCACCCTGGAATCATACCTGTTGAACCCCACCTTCCCATGTCCCCCCTCCACGCACCCCTGGCAGCCCCCATTTCACTCTATCAGTTGGACCACTTCCTATATTTCACAGAAGTAGAGTCATGCAGTATTCGTCCTGTTCCTGGCTTGTTTCAGTGAGCATAATGAACTGACCATTTCTGGAACAGCTAACTGAAGTTCTTTATGAAGCTGACTAGTTACAAGTATAACATCTTAAACAAAAGATTCTTGATTATAAACTATAACACAATATTCCCAAACCACATAATAGCACCCCCAGGACTTTCAGCAGCAAGAACATAGCTAGTGCTTGGGTAAGAAAGAGTTTTATGATACCAGTATAGTCAGAGACCAGCTTCACGTCATAAACAGTTCCCTTTTTGTAGATTCCTCCAATGCCAACTAATCATAAAGTCAGTAATTACAGCAAGCATGAGGGAGTCATCTGATGCTTGGGTGTTCCGCACAGGTTTATTTTCCATCTGTCAAGATCGAACTGCCTGTAGTATATCACTAGGTTGTAAGGTAAAAATAAAATGGGGGAATTTTGGAGCATGTTTAAAATTAGAGGCTAGGGTTTAAAGAAAGGTGTGTGACCAGATTTAGTGTCAGCTGGGGGCCAGGGAAGCCAGCAAGATTAGACGTGCCAAGTATCCCATCTACAAAGCAAATGGAGAAGCAGGTAGATGCATCGCTCGGTGACTACACAAAACTAAGATCTTGGCAGAGAAGATGCTTGGCAGAGAAGAAAGGAGAGCCCTTCATAAAAGTTTGTACCAATTAACTAACTGTGAAAGAGGACTGGTTTGCCCTGACTGGTGTGGCTCACTTGGTTGGGCATCATTTGCAAAGCGAAAGGTCACCAGTTCAATTTCCGGTTGGGCACATGCCTGGATTGCAGGTCTGGTCCCTGATCAGGGCATACAAATGAGAGGTAACCAACTGATGTTCAGCTCTCACATGGATATTTCTCTCCCTTTCTCTCTCCCTTTCACCTCTCTTAAAAACAAATGAAATCTTTTAAAAAATGATTGGTTTGAGATACAATGGTAACCTCTGAATACTTTTAATATAACGTATTAATATTACATATAAATAATGCCAATTCTATTTTCCAAGTACTGTTTCAGACACTCAGAAGTAAACAGCAGCCATCAAATAGGGGCATTAAAAGGAGAAAACAACAAAACCTCTAAAAGCCTGGAAGTATTAAGTTCAACCACATGAAATTGTCACTTTTCTGTACATAAAGAATTTAAATATCACAAATTTTATGTTTTAACCAAAAAATGTGGAGAGGGGGATGTCAATTCAATGCTAAGAATAAAAACCTGAAGACATGCTAATTCTGTGGCTTTGGAGGTTTACTTCTACGGGAGAATATTACTGAAACAGGAGAAGCGTTTTTCACATGCTATACTAAATGTCTGCCTCAAGTCACACATAGCTGGGGCCAGTCTGTACCCACTTAAATAAACCTAAAAATAAAAATTTCCATTTATTGTCATTCTTTGTTTTCTAACATGACATCCATTCCTAATAAAATTCTATTCCCACTAGATCTCTCCATTCTTCTTGTTGAATCTCTGAACCCAGCCATTAATGGTAAAACTTCAAATACACAGTCCTTCCATGCCCACATACACCCTACTTTTCAATCTATTATTCACCCGCCTTCTGCTCCTCACTCCATACTCCAGCTCATCTCTCCTGCTCTACTTTCTTCCAACCTTGGCACCCTGACAGTCCCATCTGTCAGTCCCAAGCTGCCCCCACCCCCTCCTTAGAATATCCCAGTGATCTAATCTTTCCTGCATATACTGCGCAGCTTTAGTCCTTCTGCCTTTCCCATGCACATGACCTCTGATGTCTTCAAGAATGCATGCTAGATTTTATATGTAACTTCCCACCTCTGCCTATCTAGATCTCAGTGGCTTTTTTGAAGCCAATTTCACCCAAAATGCATCAGAAAACAGAATCTGAATTTTATAAACTAGGATAATTTTATAGAGGGAGTTGTACACACCTTGAACTGAAATATTAGGACAGAGAGACTCATCCATACTCAGTATGTTTCCATGTGGACACACCATCCTCTCCGTGGCAGTACTTCAGGAGCACTTTTTAAATAAGTGTAACTTTCTGGACTGGGAGAATGAGCACCTGGCCTGTGTGAACTCCAACACATTGAGGATAAGGGAAGTAATTTATAATAGGAAGGGGACCTCAATGTACTTTCAACGTTTTTTTGATGACGGGAAGTTTCAGAACAGTGTAGGTATATTTCTATTGGGCTTAATCATTTGCCACCTTTGATTCCGGCTGCTGTGGGGCCTTTTGGTGCCATAATCAAACAGACTGACAAACACAATTTGACAGGGCACTGGGTGGAACGATCCAGCAAAACCACCCGCCTTGTGTTTACATACCTTGAATTGGCTATTTCCACTTTGGTTCTTGCCATGGCAGCTGCCCTTTGTGCGCCTTCGATAGCTCTGTCCACCTTCTCCCTAGTTTTTGTATTTCTTATTGGTATAAGCTGCTTCCTTATTCCACGGACCAAAATATTATTTTTGTATTTCCCCTCTTCCTTGGAGCCGTCAGGAAACACGGTGCAGCCGTACCCATGCCTCTTGTTGTTGACCCACTCGCCCTCGTACTTCATGCCATTGGAGCGCTCGCTGATGCCGAAACCATTGCGTTTGTCATTCTTCCACTCACCCATGTAGGTTTCCGTGGTGGTGGCGTCCACGTGGTCTTCCATAGGGCAAAAATCGCAGTCGACATCGCCAAAGCTGATGGTGGAGTTGGCATCGCTGGAGCTAATTCTGCTCATGGCTGCGTCGCTACGGACCGAGCTACGCTTGCTGGAGATGGAAGACTTGGATTCGGACTTGCGAATTTTCATGCTCCCGAGAAGGGAGCCCCTGCGGAAGAGGCCGCCCTTCTTCTTGCCAGCCAGCTCGGCGTCGGCGTGGAAGTTGAGCACGAAGCCACCGCGGGTGCCGGCCGGACTGTCGGCCGCGGCCGCTGCGTCGTGGAGCACACTGCCGTTGCTCTGCTCACTGCGCAGCGAGGCCAGCGAGGTGCGCAGGGGCGAGCGGATCACGGTGGCCATGCCGTAGGGCACACTCTGGCGCACGCCGTAGCCATGCCGCATGCCACCGGCCCACTGGCCCTGGTAGGTACCTTCGAGAGACCAAAGCACAGCATGAGTCCAGGGAGGAAGGTGCCCCATCTTGCCAGGGCCTGCAGTGCACTTGGGCAGCTGGGCATGCAGGGTAGACAGGCCCGAGGTCAAATCCCACAGCCTTCCCAGTCAGCTCTACTGGATGCTTTTCATTTGGGAATCCGCACCCTGTGACTTGGTGTCTAGTTTGGAATTGTACAGGATTTTCCCATAGTCTGGTCATTTTGCTTTTCATCTAAAATTTTATACCAGTTTCACATGAAACCACTACTTTTGAATACAAAGGGTGATCACTGGAAAACAACTTTTCATCCCTGAGATTGACAAATCAGAAATCCCTCTTAGTAAATTATATAAATGTCTAACCCGCTCTGCTGCACACCTAACCTAATATAACACTGAATGTTAACTGTAATTAAAAAAAACTAAAATTTCAACATAAAAACAATTAAAATGCAGTGCCATAGTAGAAGATGAAATGAGTTCTACTTGTGTATTTTATTCCAATTTTACTATTAATTACTCTCACTTAGCTGAAAAAATCTAAAAATGACTTTTGGATCTGTCAGTATAACATTCCAACAAGATCAAGGACCCACTGAGGGATGGGTCATCAAACAGATTTTTGGGGGGTGGGTGGTGGGAAAAATGAAAATATCTAGGATTATTACTTAAATTTGGGTGGAACTTTCTCAGCTAAGAGTGATTTAACAAATACAATATATATCCTGAATAGAGTGAACCATCATGAAAAAATGGGCAATTTGTTTTAACATTGTATATTTTCAGGGGAAAAGCACCAGATTTGTCCCCTATAGGTGATGAACGTGAGCTAGGCTTATTGTGAAGATCATTTTACAAAATACACAAGTATGGAATCATTATGTTGTACACCTGAAACCCACTTTTTGTCAACTATACCTAAAAAAATACATATTTAAAAAAAGATTTGTCCCACATTATTTGCTAAATCTCTGTTTCCTCCTGCTGCTTTTCTGGCCTCTGCCCCTGCACTGTGACTCACAGCAAGGACGAGGAGCACTGAGCGTCGGAATTACCCTAAGAGAACATGAAATTTCTAAACTCACGGCTTGTGCGTTCTGTGCTTCGTAGGTGTCTGATAACTTTATAGTAAAAGGCCATGGTGGCTAAAAAGAATATCTATTTACCCTCAGAAAAACTGAGATAAGGCCAAAGGAAACCTTTCACTCTTCACATCATGGAATTCATCTCAGAGAAAAGATGTGTTTGACAGGGTTCCTTAAAGCTGTATGATACCAGATCACTTTCCTCAATGATTATTATGCCTTTTCAGAAATAGGATAACCTCTAATCTAAAGTGTTTATGTTCAATAAGGTTTTCTATTAAATAAATTAGTAAAGACATTTCAAAATTAACCCGGTACAGTTTTTTAAATAATCTCAGGAGTAAATGAATGTTAAAATTACGGAACTTAGAATTTTCTTTTTAAAATCAAGGTCATTTCCTTTCATTAAAGGCAAAATTTAAATTACAATATCTCCCTGGGAAGTTCTGGGGTGGAACACTTTATAAAGTATATGATTGTCTAACCAATAACTGTATATCTGAAACTAATAAATACTAGTAAACTGTAATTGGAAAAATGGAAATAAAAAATAATTTGAACACCACATTATAGCTAATGGGTACAAAATTAAAAAAAAATTATAGTACCTCCCCAAACAAAGCTATGTGGAAATTTTAACATGCCATTACTTTGGTATTCATAACAATTCACAGGACCATAGACAGTAAACCACTGTTACACTGTGGCCCTACCTCTTTGTTTCTAATTTTGCAGATCTACCTTGAAGTCACTTTTCATTTTAAATTGCCATATATAGATGTCCATAGTATGGCGTGTACTTCATTTTAAAATTCTGAGCAAAAATGCTAGTAGTTTTATGTCACTGTGGTAACAAGGACTATATTTTAAAGTTAAAACCACGATGGCCCCCAAATCAAAAGTTTTGACTAATTTCAAGACTCTCTTCTCTTTCTGCTTGTTTTGCTATATTTATGTCACAAAACAAACAGAAGGACAAAACTGAAGTACTAAGTAGGCCTGGTACTGTGAGGGTCATACACTGGGTAGATGTGAAAGTCTTAACCAGACATCCATGAACTTCTCAGGAGGTGGGTGGGCCACAGCTTTCTCAAAAGGATAAGCCCAAAGGGGCAGGACAGTCTGAAGGAACATGTTAGGGTAAGAGACTTCCTACTGAATACTAGCCATCTGCAAACATCACCACAGTAACAGGGAAGGTAACAGAATTACTAGGAAAGGTCAACTTTGACTTTTTCTTTGCCTATCTAGACACAATTTAAATTCTAGGATAAAAGTTATACAACCTGACTTACACATACTGAAACAAACCACCTTGTTTTAGATATTTTGTTTTAAATAAATGTGAAACACTAAAATTATATCCTTCTAACTTTCCTATATAATGACAAGTTAATTTTGCTAGAAGAATACCTAAAGGTGCTGTTTGAATCAGTAAAGTAGTTATACTTCTACACCGCAACCGTACTATCCTAGTAAATGGTTAGCACTGGGAGAACGTTAACAACTGGTTTCCTTAAATGGTTATAGCCAAAAGTAAAACTAATATTTAGAATTTCCAAAGAAGTACTGCTTGAAAATCTAAGCAGTTTAAGGCAACAATAATAGTTAGGAAGTTAATGTCTCTGGTTAACTGTTAAGTAAGTGAGGCGAGACGAGCAGTGTGGCCACGCTTCCCTTCTATTCTGTTAAATTACAACATATGGGAGGGTCCCTCCATGGCCTTTCCAGAAACAGTTTACAGTCAAAGTGTCAGCTGTTCATCTGGAATTTAAAATACGTTTAGTTTAGTCAGTGAATGTAGAAAAAAAAGGGCCTCTATGTCTTTATGAAGCACATGGGGTCCAGTGCCTTTATTTGCTGCTTAGATAAAGCTCTAATTAAGATCCTCCTGACTGCTTAAAAACACGCAGATTTCACAAGTGTAAATCTGATTTTTATGGGTTTTAAATTCTTCTCTGACTTTTCATCTGGGAGCTGATTTTCCAGCTAAAGCCATTTTGTAGTAGAAGGCATCCAGTTCAGAATGAGTTGCGGTCAAATTAAGACTGTCGTATGCCAAACCTGTTTCTGTGGTACAGATGGGTGTGCTCCAATACGCATCCAGTTAACATTGGGTCTTCCTAGATACTTCTAATAGTTTTCTGACAGGTGGGGACAAAGATGAAGTATAGCAGATCAGTATTTGCACCAAAAATGCTGGGTTCCTCAACTTGGGTTTTGTGAATATGGAACCAATTTATTCTAATCTAATATTCAGGGATTTCCCTTCAGCAACACATTATACATAAATCAGTAATAAATCACACGATATTTCTCACATGGAATTACTACTTCCTTTCTCCTCTAACTTAATGTTATCACAAAATACATGGAGTCAGATTTCCCCTAAGTCTGACAGAGGGTAGGTAATACAGGGATGGACATACAGTTGTGCAGAGGCAAAGAACAAAACCAAGGTAAGTCAAGTAAGAATATAGAAAGTGGTATTTCCTATTTGGGCCAAAACCTTTGTATGAAATAAGTCACGGTCATACACTTCCAGTTAGATCCCCTCCCCTTTTATGATTGAAGACTTTCTCATTAAACAGAGTGACAAATTAAAGAAAGCAGGAAATCACCTAGCATGGAGTAAACACTCAATCGTGACTTTTAAGAGATGTTTTTCCCCTTCTTAATTGATAGCATATTTGAATTTTTTGTTCTTTTGTAGAAAAAGAAAAGCACTATACTATGGTGATGCCAAATTTTAAGGATTTTAATTTTAAAATATTTTAAAACAGGATGCAGATTATAAATACAGTCAGCCCAGACATGTATTTGAGATTCCACAACACATGCAGAGATGACCTTCACTGTGCTATATGTACTTTGATTACTAGGTATAACGAATGCTCTAAACCAAGAGATTTTGTTCAATGACATGTAATGTTAAAAGAAGACTAACTTATTAACCTTCCCAACTGAATAGAACTATTCACAACCTTCCTAAAAGGTTATAAAATGTTGCACACACTTAAAAAATAAATAATTTATTTAAAAAAATAAATATTTTTAAATGTGGAACACAAAAGTAAATATTGTGTTCCACATTTGAGCATGGAATTTCTTTATACTGAAGAGCAGGGGCTTCCAATGAAATATAATCACAAACTAAGGTATTGGCAGGGCACTCGACCGAGGTATCCTATGCCCATTCAAAACATCTAAGGGCCCTGATGAACTACTGTGGAACTTGGGACCCAAGCAGCCCATATAAAAGTGTTCAAGAAATATATTTTCTTTCTTTTAATCCATGAGAATAATATCCTTGGTACTGTAGGAAGACAAGAAGCCCTTTTTAGCAAATCCTACCATTCTGCCGTTTTACATTTGAACACGGCCCATGCTCTGAGTAAGTGAAGTACACAAATTGTGTAAGTTTTTATATAAGCAACGGCCTAACTGGGGTTGCACCGGGCTGGAGAAACTTTGAACTGGATCCCTTTAATATCCTCCAACTCTGAGCTGCATAATTCCAAAAGTGACATCACCTCTTCCAACCCTTTCTGATGAATTATGATTATGTTTATCATCAGAAAATGTATATTGCCAAGCATAAGTCGTTCATCTTTCCCAGCTTATTACACAAGGAAATTCATCGAGTTCTGACACCTGTGTGAATAACATATATTTAACCTAAATGAAAAAGCTTGCTCTACTATATATAATTTCTTTTGTTAAATATTAAAATAAGGTGAATTTTGTTCACAGCCATATACGGTTTACGCCTTACACTTTGCAAGTCAGTTTTGGGCACTGTCATTCTCAGGAGTAAAGCAGCTGCTAACTTAACTATTGGGACTATAGCTCTCAATAGTATTTTTTTAAAACATAGAGTTCTGTGTTCATTTCTAAAATGTTTTCCTAGTAATTTGTCTATAGATCTCCAGGTCAACAAAGACTACCATTGTTTTGACCAAATACTTTAAGGAACCTTACGAAAACTAGGAACAAAAACCCACACCCTGAGGACGGCACCTGCGTCAGGTGGCCTCTCCGCTCCCATGGCTATGATGTTTCCAAATGCACCCCAAATAAGGTGCCATTCCCCCACATCCTAGTTATGGGGTTCTGGCTTCTATCTTTAGGCTACTAGAGGACCGGCAGCGAAATACGACTCCATATGAAACCAATCTGGGAGCGGTCAGCGTCGACCGCCAACCTCGAAAGCTCAGGGCGCTCGCTCTAACTCCACGCTAGTGGCGATTTCAAACCCAGCCGGGAGCAGGGAGCAGGAACGTAATGTGACGGGCTCAAATGACCGCGTCCCCTCCGCAGCCCAACCTTCCCGGGCGGCGCTTCCTCGCCGCGGCGGTGCTGTGTTGGCGCCGGCCAGGTACATTCACGCCCGGCTGCCCCGGGTGTGGACACAGCGCCCGCTCTCAGAACCGGGTCAGGTCACCCCCCCCCCTCCCGCCGCGCACCAGTTGCATCCCAACGCACCTCCTGGACCAGGGCGGGAACAGGGGCTACGTGGGCGGCTGCCCAGGTGTTTTGGCGGGTTTCCGGACACGTGCGCCTCCCCCACCCCCTCCGCCCCGCCGCGGGGTCAGAGCCCCCGCGCGCCAGCCTTCCCAGCCCCCCGCGACGCCGCTCACCTCCGTCCCCGTAGGTCTCCACGCCGTACCCGTCCTGCAGCCCGTTACTCCAGGTACCCTCGTAGCGAGCGGGGGTGCACAGGCTCTGCCGGACCCCGTAGCGCCCCTTGAAACCATGTGACCACTCCCCCCGGTACATCCACTTGCCCTTCGTCTCCACCCCCAGCCCGTGCCGCTTGCCCTGAGCCCAGTAGCCCTGGTAGGTGTTGCCGCTGGGCCAGGTGTAGCCTCCGACCACCTCGAAGCCGTGCGACCAGGAGCCCGAGTACTCGCCCTGGCCCTTGGGCCCCGTGCAGATGCCGTGCCCATGCGCCTTGCCCTCCTCCCAGCCGCCGCAGTAGGTGCCGCCATCGTCGAAGTCGAACCTTCCGCCCGTCATTCGGGGGGCAGCCCCGGCGCGCTCCCCGCGGGGGCACGGACGCGGGCAGAGCTGGGCACGGCAGGGTGTAGTTCGGCGGCGGGGGCCCGGCGGGCGAGCACGGGACCGCGCCCTGGGCAGCTCGCGCCGCCGCTCGGCTCCAGTCCGACGCCGCCCCCGTCCTTCCCTCGGGTTTCGCTGCCGCCACCACCGCCTTCCTCCTCCTCCTCCTCCTCCACCACCACCACCACCGCCGCCGCCGCCCTGGCCAGCGGAGCGCGCGAGAGGACAGCCCGGGCTCCGAGCGGACCTTCAGCTGCTCCCGCCCGCCCACGTGAGCCGGGCACCGCCCCGTGCCCGCCCCTGTCCCCTCCCCGGGCGCGGAGGCCCGGCCCCGCGGCGCTCCCGCCCCGCGGGCCCAGCACCCAGCCCCGGGTCCGCGGCTTCTCCGGCTCGGGGCGCGGGGTGCGCGTGTGCTTGCGCAAGGGTTGGCTGTGGCTGGGCGACCGTCCCCGGGGAGGAGCGACAGTCCCCACCTGGAGATGAAGGCGCGGCCGCGTGCGTGCCTGGAGACGGCTCTGGGCGCCGGAGCCTCCTGGGTTTGTGCTTGGGGTTGATCAAGGTGGTTAAGCGCCTGTAAGTGTGGGAAAACTACTTAACAGGAAAACTACTGTGTGCGTGTTTGCCTGAATGAGGTTTGTAATTGCATTTTTTTCGGCATTCGAACTTGTGTTTGTTGCATTTGTCATGCTCCGCTGTCATCGTGACTTAATATCCTCCAGATATATGTATACCTGTGATATAAATCGGTAGCAGCCTAGATATAATTGTGCAGGGTGTTCTTTGACACTATCTATTTCAAAGCACGTGTGTGTGTGAATTTATTTAGTGAAGATGCAGGGAAGACTAATGCAGTTTGAAAAAAAAGCACAGAATCAATTAGTTCGTTTTTTTATTTATAACAATGGAGAGGATGTTTTAGATCTGTCTTTGCAAGCTTATAGTGTATTTTCTTGTACATCAGAGGTCATTCGCCTAAATGCCTTATTTGTCCTAACAACCTTAGAAATTCTGTAGCCTGGAGCTGTGTACCCAACAGGCAGCCGGCTCAGTCTGTGTATATCGGGCGAGTGTCTGGAATGTACACCTGGTACCTCTCCGCTGGTATCCACAGTTTAAGAAAGTAAACAGAAGCTTTCAAGGAGGTATATGGTAAGTGAAACACTGCTCTAAAACTTAGAGTCTGTGACCTACAAAACCAGGGACAGGTGTCAGCTGATCTTTCCAGCTACAACATTGCTTTGTTGAATCCACTTTCGACAACTCGTTTACACTTTTAAACCTCTATTTCACTGTCTCCCATATGGAGATAACAAGAGTTGCTTTTCCCTTGTTATTATGTTAGATGGCAACTGAGCATACTGTGGGTTTAGTGCAAAGTCAGGAATTAGAGATAGGTAACAGGCAAGTTGAATCAATCAGATGGTATTGTCTCTGGTTGCGAGGAGGGGTTGGTCTCAACCTCACCCTCAAAATACCCAGGGGACACTTCTTTGTGGTCCACAGCCAGGAGTCTTAGGTTGGCCTCTCAAGGACACATTTTGCAGAGTATTCCTGGCATTCCTTAGGCTAAAATGTTTTTGGATGACTGACTGAACACCAGAGGCTGCCAAACTTTCATAGATATTTGATAATCAGATAAAAATATAAGGACAGGTGTTAGAGGAGGCAACGGGGAAAAGTAGACTGAACTGCACAGAAAAGGAACTGAAATAGACCTTGATTGCCTCCATTTCAGGACTGGAGCCGGCCTTTCCTGCTTATCTGTCTGAAATGCTAAAAGGGAAAATCGCAGTTTACACAGAACCAAATCACCAAAAAGAAGTAGGAAACCTCATCCATGGTGCTGCCTGCAGAGCTGCCAGGAATAGAGCTTACCCTAGTGGCCTGAAATAATTCCACATCTTGCTCAGCATCTCACCCTGGGCTGGGGATTGATTTAGGCCACTGGGAAAACGAGGGCCCAGGACTTTGCAGCTGAGCCATAACTGCATTTCTTTGTTATGGGACACACCAGGGTCAGCAGTTCACGTAAACACATCTCCATCTATGTGGTGGTTCTGTTTCATGGGAGAAACAGTGTGGTTGCAAAGACAACATTTTTTCCCCCTTTTAAAGCTAGCTTTCTTCATAGAGTATCCTTTGTCTCTTGATTATATATTTTTTGGACCTACCCGTATGTGTTGGAGACACATAGGAGTATTTAAAGACTACGTTGTTGTTTGCAAGCATGATGGAAACATTGATAGATTTTTACTTTTCCTAATTAGCTCTCATGCAAGTGATAAATTTTCTGGAATATACAGCCCAGGGGAGTTTCTAGTTTCTGTAAAAGATGTCTTGTCCATCTATGGTGGATACATGCAGGATCATGGTACATATACATCTGGGTAAAGTATAGAAATTTGGGGAAGATAAAAGATATGGCCATTTATCTCTTTTTTCATCTTTAGTAATATCTTTTTTGATGTGGATATTTTCAGTATGTTGGCTATTTCCTGCTATTGGCTTCTAGTGGGTAGAAGCCAGGGATGCTGCTGAACATCTTCCAATGCATAAGAAAGACCCACAGCAAAGAATTATTTGTCCATCCCTGGCTGCTGTAGCTCAGTGGATTGAGCATGGGCCTGTGAAGCAAAGGGTCAAGGGTTCGATTCCCAGTCAGGGCACATGCCTGGGTTGCAGGCCAGGTCCCCGGTGGGGGACACATGAAAGGGCAAACACACACTAATGTTTCTCTCCCACTCTTTCTCCTTCCCTTCCCCTCTCTTTAAAAATAAATAAATAGATAAATAAATAAATAAATAAATAAATAAAATATTTTAAAAAGAATTATTTGTCCAAAATATCAATAGTACCAAGAGACTTTGCAAATTGCTTTCGACACATTCAATCAGTCACAGCATCTTTTCCATAACACTGCACAAGTCCTTTTTGCATTTCAGTTGCATTTTTACCTTTTTAAAAATAATAAAGCATAATACACTAAAAATGTTGCCTACTTTCTTCCATCTTCAATATTAAAATGACTGCACAAAAACTCACCAGTTTGATAAGTCTTTTTTCACTTTATATTTTATTGATTATGCTGTTACAGTTTGTCCTGATTTTACCCCTTTTGCTCCTTTCCATCCAGCCACCCCCACTCCCTCAGGCCATCCCCCCACCATTGTTCATGTCCATGGGTCACACATAAAAGTTCTTTGACTACTGCCATTTCCTATACTGTACTTTATATCCCTTTACATCCCCATGGCTCTGTAACTACCTGTTTGTGCCTCTTAATCCCCTCGTCTCTTCATTCACTTCCCCACCACCCCCTTCTACCTGGCAACCATCAAAACTCTCTCTACATCCATGATTCTGTCTCTGTTCTTCCCGTTTGCTCAGTTTGTTTTTTAGATTCAGTTGTTGATAGATATGTATTTTTTTACCATTTTATTGTTCATAATTTTTTTTTAAGTAAGTCCCTTTAACATCTTATGTAATAATGGTTTGGTGATGATGAACTCCTTTAGTTTTCTCTTGTCTGGGAAGCTCTCTATCTGCCCTTCGATTCTAAATGATAGCTTTACTGGGTAGAGCAATCTTGGCTATAGGTCCCTGCTTTTCATGACTTTGAATATTTCTTGCCAATCCATTCTAGCCTGCAAAGTTTCTTTTGAGAAATGAGCCAGCAGTCTTATGGAAACTCCCCTGTAGGTAACTAACTTCTTTTCTCTTGCTGCTTTTAAGATTCCCTCTTTATCTTTAACCTTTGGTGTTTATGATGTGTCCTGGAGTGGGCCTCTTTGCATCTATCGTGTTTAGGGTTCTCCGTCCTTCCTGGACTTGTGTGTCTAGTTCCTTCACCAAATTAGGAAGGTTTTCTTTAATTATTTTTCAAATAGAGTTCTTGCTGTTTCTCTTCTCCTTCTGGCCTCCCTATATTGTGATCGCTGGACTGCTTGAAGCTGTCCCAGAGGCTGCTTATACTATCCTCATTTTTTGGGATTCTTTTTTCTCCTTATTTTTCTGATTGGTTTTTTTCTTCCTTATGTTCCAAATCATTGATTTGATTCTCTATTTATCTCTTAATAAATATTATTCTTGCTATCTCTAATAATGTCTTCCTTGGAAAGAACCTTCAGTAAAAGAGAATCTACCACCAACTATCTGCTATTAAATTTCAAGTAATCTTAAATGTAACCTGACTCTGCCGTTGACTCTCATCATGGAAGAAAATTAGTATTGAATACTAGGTACATCACTGAATAATTTTTGGCAAAGTAACAATACTAGCCGTGCTTTCATTTACCTGCTGCCATCACCGTGGAATGTTTCCCCAGTCACATTGATGTGTTCATTGATGTCAGGGTTTGGGTTCAATGGTAATGGTTGGAAAAGACTGGAAAGTGAACTAGGAAGAGGTGCTGAGAATGACGGATGGCAGAGAGTAGGCAGTGGAATAATGTTGCGTTTAATAGTCAGGGTTAGTAATGTCCTTATTTTCCCTCTCACTCTGAACCTTTGCCCTGGATAAGGGGCAGTTGAATTTAGCTTTAAGAAGGGATTAGTAAGAAGAGAATGTGAATGTTGGTTTGACAGGTGGGGTGGGGGAGGCCCTTAAAGCCCATAGGTCAACAACCACTCTAGCAGTTTCTTTTCTTCCAGTTCAAATCCAGATATTAGAGACTGCCATTCTAGCAAACTTTATACAAAAAGGTAAGCTGTTTTGAATGTGAATCTCTAGTAAGAACATGTTGGTGAAGATATTGTCCTTAGATTTTAATCTTTTTTTTAATGAAGGTGTGTTTAAGATTTATTAATGATTTAATTTTATTTACATATTAGAATTATGGAGAGTTTTTAATAAAGTTTACAAATGACCAAAAGCTAATCTGCCAGTTTTTATTGTTTAAAAGATGTGATTCCAAATGTGTAAAAAAGCACATACAATTAAAATTATTTGACTTATATAGGAGTATTACTAGCAGAAGTCAGAAGGAGTATTACTAGCACCTTTGTTATACAGCACTTAAAGAATTTAAGAAATCTGTCTACAATAAATAAAGAATTAAGAAATAAGATCAGAAGCTTTGCAGACAACATGAAGTCAGCAGAGGAAGAAAATTCCAAAATGAATGGCTTTCAAAACTTTGAAGGCAACCACTGTATGCCAGATTTTGTGCTAAGTTCTTTACATGCATTAAGTCACTTAAATCTCATAGTAACCTGTGTGGTTGTACTAGTTTTATAACCATTTTATAGGAGAATAGAAATAAGGTATAAGACATTTATGTGCCCAAGATCATTCAAGGTAGAAATTGATGAGCATATTTCAAACTCAAGTCTGTCTGGCTCAAGAGGTGGTTCTCTTTATCACCTTTTTGCTTTGGAGCAAGAGTGAGAGGAGTAAAATGTGAGGAGGAAGTCGCCTGAGTGGGGAGCAAGGAGGGATGGTGAAGATGGCTTTTCTTGTTTTTAAGAACAGCTTCCCAGATTAATGGTAATGCTACTGTCTAGCATTAAAGAAAGCATTAAAGAAATGGAGGAAAAGGAGTAAATTACAGAGGTTGGGAAGATATGTACATGTGGGAAACAATTATCTAGGAATATATCCCAGAGATGTATAGTAGGCAGTTGGGTAATGCAGGTTAAGAACAAAACTTAATGAGTTGATAAGTATAGGAGTACTTCGGTGAATTTGTGGGTTTGTCTCCAGACCGCCTCAATAAAGCAAGTATCACAATGAAGCAAGTCATAAATTTTTTTTTTTGTGGAGGGTCTTGCCGTCAATTTGCTAAATATAAAACATCTCTGAAGTGCAATAAAGTGAAACAATAAAATGAGGTCCACCTGTAAGTTATTCTCACTTTTCTCCTCTGACAGCTATTATTTAGTAGTGCCCCCTTTTGAGACTTGCATTGTTCACTCAAGCCATAGGGACTAATCTTGTTGCCATCTTCTCTAGGTCAGCGCCCTGTGTTCATTGGGACTAATGGTTTATGTACTCTGTCCCCCATGTCGTCTCCTGCCATTGTCCTGGGCAGCTTGATCCTGTCTTCAAGCCTGTCTCAGTATCATGACCTTTATCATAAAGTCCTGAGACACAGCCTGGGCCTTACCCTGACCCCAGTGTAAACCAACTTTTCAAACTGGACTTTGACAAT